AGGATCGTTTAACTAGACTTACATCGAAGAAAAAGAACATTACGGAACCATTACGGATATTGTAGCACTTTTCAAGGTTACGGAAAAGGACACTTACTTGTTTGAAAGGATTTATCATACAGTATTGTATTCGAACAGTGTGCTGAGCGTAGTTGATCGGATCGAATAAAACGTGGAATTGACACTGAATTGACGGCTGCTACACAAAATCTTTTTGACAACCCTGAGGAGGCATTACTTGGCCGTGGGTTAATACAAATTTATTCTCGAGTGTCGACAATATCTCTCTTTTGTGAGAGATATTATAAACTCGTATCCACCAGCGGACAAATAATGTTCTGTTTGGTCTAGATCTATAGTTACTGAATACGTATTTAAGCCAAAAACAATTTTAAAACACATAAGAACATTAAATACAGAGAACACCAGCACATAAAATCAGCTCACCAAAAAGCTACTTCAACCTCCGATTAAATGTAAAACAAATTCTCATTCCAAACATACAGCAAAGGTAGGTATAAATAGTTTATTTACCTACTTGTAGTTCTGATATTGCCTTAGTAACTTTATATGATATGTACACACAGATATAAAACACTGTATTCTCAAAAAGCGAATTTCAACTGAGTGTCCTACAACCAAATCCAAATTTATCACAATTGCCAATCGTCGAGCACTTTTCAATTAAGTATCGAAAAACCAAATCCAAAGTGATGACAACTGCCAATCAGAAAAAAGGTTACCATGATTATTAGCCAATGAGAACACAGAGTAGAAACAGGCAACCTCCTTAAAGCGCGGGAAAACGCGAGTGACCAAGTCGTAGTTGGTTTTAGTTTTACATTTGATTGGTTAAGATTGTGACGCGAGTTTCCTGGACCAATCACATAACGAAGTAAAGCAAAACCAAAGCAATCCAGCATCACTTTTGATACTCAGCTGGAAACTGCTCCAATAAAGGAAATATAACAAAATGCCAAAGATAACTCAAAGAAAAGCCTGAAGTGCTGGAAATATGCGAATGGCCCTACTGCACACTCGATCTTGATGAGGCTCGTACCTGATTGGTCAAGGGGGCGGTATAGGCTCGCTAAACCAATAACAGACTACAGTCAAGCTAAACCAATGCCCATGACTATATCCATGACTATTTTCGACACTCAATTGAAAGTTTCTTTCATAGTTTACAATATTACCTTACAAAGACTAGTTTTAAAAGAATTCTGAACATGTCTAATGATCAAGTCTCTTTATACTGACGCCGCATAGCGCTACTCGTTAGGTCTGATCTGTAGAGTTATTTTCTGTTGGTTATCCAGGCATTCTCGTAGTTTATTCTCAGTCATCGTCAGCCTTTGTTCCAAAATTGAAACCGTCTGCAACAAAAGGTCGCGCAACGAATATAAGAGTCTCTCCCTTACACTAAAAAAATATCTTGCGTTTCAGCATAAGCTAATACATCTCCATGTTGCATGAAATCTTTGCCTCGTCTCTGTACAACAAAAACCTCATATTAGACTGTTCATGACCTTTTTCCCCGACGAGGGCCACGGACTTGATCACCAGTCGCTGTTTCAGAAACGAGCTCCATCTTGCGATCAGGTATTCCTTTTTCCAGGGGGAGGGGGGAGAGAGAAAGAGCAACTGTGGTGCTTCCATACCATCCCCCTCCCTCCCTCCCTCCCCCCTCCCCAAACAAAGAAGAAGACCGCCTGATTCAGGCTAAATGAATCTATGCTTCTCAAAGGCTGGTAAAAGGAACTAGCAAAAATTGAGTACATGAAAGCTGTGTCCCCCGTTTCTAAGTCTTGTGTCTTGTTAAAGGAAGGGTGTTTTAAAATGGATATTGATTATTGTTGATACGAGTAAGCTTTTCATCGGGCCACACCTTTTGCCCCTTTCCCCCTAACATGGGTCCCTCTTCAACCCCTGGTATTCTCCCCTATGAATGGCAGCGTGGTGGGGTCATTAACAGGAGTGTATCCCCTGTCCCCACCCCCCAAGGCTCTTGGTTTCCAAAACAATTCCCTGTTCACAAATTTTTTCCGCAACTAACCTGTGTGAGCACATCCAGCTGGCCAACAATGTGCTCCAGAGTATGCTCAACTGTGGAGAAATATCTCTTCTTTCCAGGGGTGTGGTGAGGGGAGGCTGTGTAGCTGGAATGCCTCCCAAACCATCAGTCTCCCCATTCCTTCCTGCTACTTCATCTAATTTGCTCTGTCTCTGAAGAATGAGAATTTGCAAGACAACATCTTGGTTAACTTGGCTCTTAAACTAAACCAAGTAAGGTGGAAGGGTTTCTCATGAACTTTACATCTTAGCTATCAACTGATGCAATCTGGCAAAGTCAAAAAAATAATCCTAAATAGCCTACTTCAGCCAAAGATGAGATTTTAATACAACAAAAAAGATAACTTATCCATTACTCATGCAGCCATTCTTGTTGAAGAGTAACACACTTTTGCAAATCAAACAAGTAAAATTTATTCACAATGCATTCAGTAAGATATCATTTCAACAATGGTCAACACTATTTGAACCTAAAGGAGAACTGTACTCAGTTCATGAGTACAGTGAAAAGTATCCTATAATATCAGTAATTCATTCAATCAATTTATATTTCATACTATTTAAAGGAACTTGTTCATGAAAACTCCTGCATGCATGGAATACCTAAATAGCAATTGCAACTTGATGCAATCAAAACACTCCTCAGTCTATAGACGGTTTCTAAATACATCTCAAATGCAATTCCTGCAAAAGCAAATAAGGTAGGTAGATGCTATGCTTTTATCTCCTTAAACAGAAACTAATAAAAGCGGTGCATTCAGGGAAATTAAGTTTGGGAAAGCAAAAATCACTGAAAAATCTTACTAAGGTGACAATCGTTATTTATCAATGGGGTTGGATATAGAGGGGGGGGGGGAATCAGCTGTCGCCAACAGAGTTTCAAGCAGCTCACAAAAGGAGGCACACCAACAACTGACAGTCTTAAATGCAACCATTGCAGTAGACTGTGCTGCTCACATGCTGAACTTGCAGTGCATCAATGCCCCTAAAGCAGTTAACTGTTTCTCAGTCAACATCACCTGCAATGGACTGCCAATGATGATTAAAGTGGACTATAGTAAATTGACTGCTAATGAGAAGAGGGATAAAAAAATATCGCTCTCATCTTGATCACTCTCATTTTCTTGCCCCTCAGCCAGTTTGTTTGTTTTCACTGTCAGTTCTTATCACCTGCTCGTGTTATTTTCTTTTCATCTGGTTGGTCTATGAGATTTTTTAGGTTTTGGTTTTACATCCCCCCCCCTTGTCCCCAGATGGGATGTCAGTCCATTGCAGGTTACCCCCCAGCATTTCATCAGGTTTCCTTGACAGCAGTATCCATATATAATCCTGGGTGGAGAGAACCCTGTGAAAGTAAAGTGTCTCACCCAAGAACACAACACAGCAACATGTCCAAGTCTTGAACTCAGAGCTCTAGACATTTACCCCTCACTCCCTAACATTAGCATACATATTCTCCCTACTGTTCTCTAAACATTTCCTTAGGTGCTGACAAGGAGAATTTGATTAACAATCAAGAGGGTTTTTTAGTTTGTGATCATTTCCTATTTTCTCATGACCTTAATGTTTGATTCAGGGGTGATATTGAAAGGAGAAATTAGATGCTAGTCACTCTTAAGAGAACAGGTTAAGCTGCCATCTCATATTTAATCTTCTTATTTAATCTTATAATTTCCTATTTGATGAATTCACAGCTTGTCCAGACTTACCTTGGGAGCAGCCTCTTCAGGTGCAGTCCTTGGAGGGGGTCATGAGTATGGGGTGTGGGTACAGATGGGGATGCTGCTCTTTTTCTGTGGGAGTCAGTAGCACTGAAAGCATCACAAAAAGCTATTTAACACACTACCAGTCACATGTAGGAGGCTTAACCCTTTCACTCCCACAAGTGACCAAGACAGAATTTCTCCTTACAATATCAATACAATATCAAGCAGGGAAGTGATGAGAATAGAGAAGAATGTCAATCATGGGATTATTAGTTGATCCAATACCAAATTCTCTGAACTAACATCATAAGAATTGTATGGCGTATAGTAAGGAGAATTACTAATTAGATCTTGGGAGTGAAAGGGTTAAGCAGCTAAAAAATTAAAAACAAACAAACAAGAACAATCTTGAAGACAAAAATATCTGATATGTTTCAGAGAATTGACAAAAAAAATATTACATGCAATTTTCTATAAACAAAAGTGAAATGACATGAAAAAGCAATACTGGTAAATTTGATTTTGCTTTTTTAATCTTTTGTACACAGCAGTTCACAAAGAATCTTACACATGCAAACATCACTTGTCAGAAAATATCACACAGGTGAATAGTGCTTTTCATGTGTACTGATTCCTTTGTTCAGAAGAGATCAGCAAGTAATATTCACTGCCAAGCAGGTGAAGAGACAAAATTAATTTCAACCATTTTTCGTTATATTGACAGAAATGAACTAATTTTTTTTGGTTTCTGTATGGTATATATCAAAACAATTATTCACCAAAGTGTTGGTGAATATTGGTGGATATTAACTGAGCCACAAAATGGCAAGGTAAATATCCACCATTGTTCACCTCCACTGAGGTGAAATACAATTGTTAATTATTTGTTTTAATTATGTTAGAAAGACAAGAAAAATGTTATAGGAATGATATGTTCAGTTCATAAGAATTTGTTTATTAAAAGATCAAATACAAAACTTAACTGCAACAACAAAAGTGGAAGGTTTTTTTTCAAATCACTGCTCACCTGAATTTTCAGCTGCCTTTCTTCAAGTTCCTCTGGAGAAAGAACTTCTTCTGCTACTTTGTTTATTGTATTGTCTAGCACCTGGAAGGTCAAACAGAAAGCTTAGCACTTACTCATTATCATTACAATTAAATTCTTGTCTCTGATATGCAAAATACAGGACATGTCACAGAAATGAAAAAAAAAATTGTTTACATGTGAATAAGAATTGAGTCATTGAGTAAGTTTATAGAGCAGTTCACTGATAAGAGCACAAAAATATGCATGTTAAACTTGTAGAGAATGCATCTAGACCTGACACAGACTGGTCTTGACAGACAAGCAAATACATCTCAAGTACAGTGTTTAAAATCCACCCCTATTCTAGGATGTCACAATCTGTCAAAACATGACCCTTAAATAATGTGAGAAAGTCTTATAGAATACAATTCACCTTAACTTTCACTAACTGCACAAGCAAAATTGAAGTGGAGAGAAAAAAAAAGCCTTAAATGACTTGTGATGAACTAAAAGATTCTCCTTCCACATTGTTCTGTATTACGTTACAAAAAAGAAAGAAGTTGGTGTTCCATAAAAAATAACCTTAAGGCTCTTTTCTAATCACCCCTCCAACTGATAACCCTTAGAACCCTAAGAGTAACAAGCATCTAATTTCTCCTTACAATATCACCCCTGAATCACACATTAAGGTCATGAAAATACAGGAAATAATCACTGACTAATTAAAGAAGCCCTTGATTGTTCAACAATTTCTCCTTGTCAGCACTTTAGGAAATGTAGAGCAAACAGTATGGAGAATATGCATACTGATGTTAGGGTGTAAAGGATTCACTCACCTTCACTGGTACAGCAGACTTGAGTTGAGCCTTTGCTCTACAGTTTGGACAGTCTTTTGAATGACTAAGTAGAAAACAAGAAAAATAACTTCAATACTTTTTGCTTCATTAACATGTCATTTTATTCTTAGCACTCTTTCAATTATATCAATCAATACAATCACATTAGTGAATGAAACTGAAATAAAATTCTCAAATGTTATTGGTTAGAAGCTCAATTTAAGAACCAATAGGATAGAGTCCACAAATTATGCCTTTGCAATTGAAGATTACACATCAATTGTATGAAGGTTCTTTTCTTTGCAAAAACAAGTGAACTAATAAGTTTTTATGAAATAATGACTCTGTTTGACCTATGACTATTTTGTTGTTTCTGAATCAAAACATTCTACTATTGTGTGTGGTTGAATAATGTGCTGTCAAATCATTTCAAATGACCAAACAGATTTACCTTAAACCTTTACACCCTAACATCACTGTGCATATTCTCCATACTGTTCTCTATACATTCCCAAAGGTGCTGACAAGGAGAATTTGTTTCACAATCAAGGACTTCTTAAGTTGCTGGTTGTTTCCTTTATTCTCACAACTTTAATGTGTGATTTAAGGGTGATATTGTAAGGAGAAATTAGATGCTAATCACCCTTAGGGGTTAAAAGGTTACAGGTTAAGATGACTTTAGAACTAAAAAAATGCTCTGTGATATGTCTTACCAAAGCCAGTCCCTGATACAACCAAAACAGAAAGTGTGTGAGCAAGGCAAAGTGTGTGCCAATACCATCAGTTCACGACAGATACAACAAAGTAGCTCCTCATTTAAATCTTTCAAGCACTTCTTTGATCTGCTTTCATCTACTAAATGAAATAAAAATTTAACATGAGCCCTGGCTATGTAACCATTAATGCAATTGATAATAATTTTCTCCCAGACTTTTGTTGGAGGAATACTTGCAATTTTGATGGAGAATATACAAAGTCATGTAGCATTAAATTGAAAGTGAGAGGAGTATAACTGGGTACCGGATAATTTTCAGGGAAGCCTGATGAAATGCTGGGGGGGGGGGGGGGGGGGTAACCTTGTGATGAGCTGATATCCCATCTAGGGGGGGGAGTGGTGAAACTCCTAGTTGCTTCATGCTAAGGAAGCCAGAATAATCTCCCACTAGTTGGGTCACTTTGCTTGCAAACAGACTTTATTTACTCTTTTTTATCAAAAGTGGCATTAAGGGCTTTTTTCTTCACATCCCTACAATAGACAGATGCCTTCAGTGGAGAGTTGCATCCTACATTTGTAACATTACATAAGATAAAGTTCAGTTTAATTCACTTCTTGGAGTTAAATGTACCTTCACTGATGTTTACTTCTTCCTGTGGATCAGCTTTTTGATCAACTTCAAAAACCTGGGATTGGAAAATAATATTAATGGTTTTGATACATGCCACAGAACACAATGTACTACACTGAATGATACCCTGAGAAATTGATAATCCTGATAAAATGTAAAATTCATCTCTTTTAACTCTTGGATTTTCAGAAGTGATTAAGTCTGTAACTTAATAATGTCCATATGCTATCCAGTAAATATTAGAATACACAGTACTAAAACTTATCCATAGAAGTTGCTTTCTTGATCTAATTATTTAAACAAAGTTTAGCCATTATTTCACAAGACCTCATCCTAAATAATCTTCAATTTAGCTGGAACTTTCATCTGAGCATTTGTTTTTGTGAACATTGTCAAGAGGGCCAAAAGCTGACAGTAGATGGAGATGACAATTTAATAAAATCAACAACCCTGTTATAGAGAAAGCCTTGGATCCACTGAATGTGTAAAACCATGGTTTGGGTTAGATCTCTGAAAATAACCTGTCCTTAGGGTCATAACCCTATAAATTTAATTTCAGTGGTAAAGATATAAGGTAAATTTGTTTTCTCTTTGCCTTTTCTTTAAAAATGATATAAAAAAAGTAATTTGCCACTTGATAATCATTAAATCAGAAGCCCAAGTTTATCTACCTGCTTATCGTCCATGCTGCCTTTAGTCTTCTTTTCACATGGAGAGCTGAAAATTACAAAAATATTAGAAGTTTGACAGGCCTATCAGCATTCAATAGGAAGTTCAGATTAGGTCTTGACACTTGGTCTTATTTGTAGCAGACTGGAACTTGATTTTAGGAACACATACAACAAAATGGTTATGTTAAGGAGGTGTAATGAGTGGGAACCTGTTTCTGGAAGATCCTGGTAACTTAAGAGGCCTGTACAGCTGTCTGTTTTCATTCAAGATGAGGGTTTCAGAAGTTATGAAATTATACAATACAACTATCAACAAAATATTAAAAATGAACTGGTTAGGGTTGTTAGAATCTGCTTCTCTATTGGCTTTAAATATTGACTTTAAAATATGGTTTGGGGCCTGTTAAGTTACTGGGACAGTAATTCAAGAAACAGGCCCCCCAACTTAAGATATGAAGATGCCCCTACACCTTTGGGGAAAATGTGTATTTGACCCTTGGAAGAAAGATGATAGTCTTCATGCAAAATCACAAAATAATAAAAAACTGGGGTATGATCTTGATCCCGCTTAAGAGTTACAGACAAAATAGTATCTGCTAAGGAAGCGAAAGAGGCAAGAGGTTGTTGTAATTTCTATGATCTCAACCCACACCACCCCCTTGAAATTTTTTTCCAGAGTATTTATTTCTCTGTCTAGTACCCTACACTCCTTTTCTAGGTCAAGTGACCCTACTCTCCATCATTACTACCCCTACTTCTGAGTGTTATGTACCCATACCTCACTCCTTCACTTAGTGATGCGGGCTTTTTCCGTTTGCTTCGCCTTCGCACGCTTCCATCGCTTGTTCCTTCCCCAAGGGAGCCCACTTCTTCAGAATCATTCTGGCAGACCTCATTAAAAACATACACAAGCTCCGAATCGTAAGCTGACAAACTCTGTCCTTCTTTCGTTTTAACGCCAGCACCTCCAAAGACAACAACATCACCATCGCATAGGACAGCAGAGCTACGCTTTGCTTTGTTGACTAGCAGCCCGTTCAGTCCTTTACAATCAATTCTGAATTTTCCATTGCTGAAATGAATTTCAGCGTGAACACGACTGATCATTAAAGGAGATATCACACTGTCAATAACAACATCTGAATATTCATTACTGCGTCCGAGACGAGTGACAGTCGGTTTTAGCAAAATTTTTTCTGGTTGTAGAGATGGATCATAGCAATTCCCTTCGACCCTCTGCAGACGGAGCATTTTTCTCCTCTGTTTCAGTGTGCAAAAGCCTCTCATACCACTTCAAGATTCTTCTTGACTGTGTTCTTGAAGTACTCTCCAAGCGGCCATTTTAACAGTACGACACGATATTCGGAAATCGTTCGGACAAGATCGGACAAGCTCGGGTGTAACTTCTCGTTAGCAAAATCAGGAATAGGGAAAAGGATAACGGATATGAGGAATGAATGTGAAAGTGATGTTTTGTTTTCTCGCGGATCTCTGTCACGCTCACATCGCTCGTAGGCTCGAAACACGCGAACTGTGTTGATCAGCATGCAAAGTTTTGTACTTTTAATTGAATTTAGATGTTTCCGAACCCAGTCTGTTCGGACAGTGTATGCACAAAATAGGGAATTTTTCCCCTTGATGCTGTCGTTGTGTGGCATCGTGAAAGTTTGAATATACAGCAAAGGTCGGTAATAATAGTTAATTAATTAATTAATCTGATTGCGGTTCTTATATTGCCATAGTAACTTTATATGATATGTACACACAGATATAAAACACTGTATTCTTAAACTGGGTACCCAAAAGCCGTGCCCCCCGTTTCTAAGACTCGTGTCTTGTTGAAGGGAGGATGTTTTAAAATGGATATTGATCCGTGGTTGATATGTGTAAACTTTTCATTGGGCCAAACTCTTTTGCTTCTTTCCCCCTGACATGGGTCCCTCTTCAACCCCTGGTATTCTCCTCAATGTGTGTTAGCATGATGGGGTCATTAACAGGAGTGCATCCCACCCCACCCCCAAGGCGCTTGGTTTTCTAAAATACTTCCCTGTTCAGAAATGTTTGCACACCAAACGTGTTAGCACATCCAGCTAGCCCACAATGAGCTCCAGTGTCATGCTCAGTTGTGGAGGAATATCTCTTCTTTCCAGGGGTGTGGTGAGGGGAGGCTGTGTAACTGGAATGCCTCCCAAACCATCAGCTTCCCCAGTCCTCCCTGTTACTTCATCTAATTTGCTCTGTCTCTGAAGAATGAAAATTTGCAAGACAACATCTTGGTTAACTTTGCTCTTCAACTAAACCAAGTGAGGTGGAAGGATTTCTCGTGAACTTCAACTCTTAGCTTTCATTTGATGCTATCTGGCAAAGTCAAATAATAATTCTCAATAGCCTACTTCATCCAATGGAGAGTTTTAAGTACAACAAAAAAGATCATTTACCTATTATTCACAGTGTTGCACAGTAATACACTTTTGCAAATCAAACAAGTAAATTTATTCACAATGCATTCAGTAAGATATTTGTTTTAACAGTGGTCAACGCTATACAAACCTAAAGGATAAGCACTGTTGAACAGTTCATGAATATGGTGAAAAATATCCTATAATATCAGTAATTCATTCGATCAATTTACATTTTTATAATACTTAAAGAAACTTATTCTTAAAAATTCATCCATGTATGAAAAACCTAAATAGAAATGCTACCTTCATGCATTCAAAACACTTCTCAGTCTTAAGATGATTTCTAATCACATTTTAGATGTAATTCCTCCAAAAGCAACTAAGTACTACGAAATTGTCAAATTGTTTACAGCTTAATCATGCAAGCCACTGTCCATGAGTGGTCATTAAAGAATTGGATGTAAAAGCATGCTCCATCTGACAAGTCAATTAATATTATCGAGCTCAACTATCAGTCTCCCAAAATATGCTCACGGAAGAGTCTACTTAAACCTGCTGAAAATATATAAAGTAAATAAGTAAAAATTATCAGCAACAATTAACACTACTCAGTACCACTGTACAGTTACTTTGCAGAAATGTATATTTTGCCTTTAAAATACTCCTATGTCTTTAAGCGGTTATAGAGCTTATTCTCGTTTGAAATTGATTTCATGCTTTATCAAAACTATATTCTTGCACGTGATTGGTTATTACCAGCCCAATTTGAACACCAATAGGACTGTGTATGCATTGTGCTTGCGATTGGACAATTGAATAGAACAGTTGACATGTCATGCCGATGTAAGTAAACAGTTCTCATCATATGCACGCTCTGTTGATTTTTTTGTATTATCAAAAGTGGGGCAAAATTACTGAATACTGATTGGATAAGACAGAATGCATTTTTTCTTAAATCACTTGATGCTGCTTGAGTCTTTTTGCTATTGGCGGCAAACAGTTATTGATTGCGATTTAACTGAATGAAGCCGTGTGATGTTGGTAACTGTACTTTCAGAATAAAATGTTCATTGAATCTATTGGTCAGTTACATCTGTTTTGACATTAGTAGCAGTATTGAAAGGGCTAAATCATGTAGACATTGTGCGCAAATGCAATTCCCTCAAAAATTTTTCCCTTTATGTGATAAACAAGTAATCGCAAGCGCCCTCGGGCCAATGGGATCGGAAATACAAAACATATAACCAATGAGTGGTTGCTTTCTAAACTATTGATTGACAAATCTGACTCCCACTTTGCGGCCGTCTGATTTTGTCAATCACTAGTACGATTAGAGATCAGATTGGAGTCCACTCAATCCTATTACTATTATCAATATACGACACAAACAATCACATTACCGAAATGATGAATCAACAGTTCTTTGAACTCTCCAAGAAAAATTAGAATGCAAGTTGCTGATTCTGGCCATTTTCTTTTGAATTCTCTTGCGACACACGACATGTCACAATTTTCCGTAAATTAATAAAATAATAAAACTCAAAGATATTTGCTAAAGGTTTGCTTTTGAAAAATTGATTGTTGCTTTCAGAAATGGACGTTCATTTCAGAATGTAAACTTCTTTCCCGCGGAAGCCTGTGACCAAAATCCGATCATCTAACATTGGGGTAACACTCCAGGACAATCCAAATTGAATATTTGAACTTGTCTTTCCAGTGAAAGCTCCTTCCAGAGTAAACTGTTGAATGCGAATGTTCCTCGCATCATATACCAAAACGTTGTTATGTTTGTCAACACATAAGCCATACGGCGTATCCATCTGTCCATCACCGTGTCCCAAATTTGTACAGAAATTGTCCTCTCTCATCAAACACTTTCACACAGTTATTATTCTTGTCAGTTACAAAGAACTTTTCCTTGTAACAAACGCAGCTGGTGGGATGATCCAGCCTTTCTGGGCCGTTGTCTCCAAACTTAAACACAGGTTCACCATCCATTGTAAACACCTGAATTCTGCTGTTAGCAAACTCCGTTACAACGATAAAACGTCCATCACCTGTAATACAAACACCTACAGGAGACACAAACTCTCCATCTCCACTTCCCTCTTTGCCAAAGCTTTTCACAAAGTTCCCTGTCTGTACATTCAATTGCTGTATTCGGAGCTCATTACTTATGGGCTCCTGGTTACCGGTACTTTCAAGAAACAGGTCCCTGAACTTAATCTATGAAGATGGCCTTACCCCTACGGCGAAAATTTCTTTTTGACCCTTGGCAGAAGGATGATAATCTTCATGCAAAATCAGTTAAACAAGATTGGGCTTTGATCTTGATCCTACTTCAGAGTTACAGACAAAATATTATCTGCTAATGAGGTGAAAGAGGTATCAGGTGTTGTTGTTGTTGTTGTTTATTTCTGCATATTTCTATGATCTAAACCCACACCGCCCCCTTAAAAATTTTCCCAGAGTATTTACCTCTCTGTCTAGTACCCTGCACCCCTTTTTCTGGGTCAAGTGGCCCTATCTCCATCTTTACTACCCCTACCTCTCTATCATGTACCCATACCATAGTACTTCACTCGGTGATACAGGCTCCCATCGCTTGTTCCTTCCCCAAGGGAACCCAATTCATTCGGAATCATTCTGCGTTTCGGAAACCAGTCAGTTCGGACAGTGTATGCACCAAACAAGACATTTTGCCCCCTGATGCTGTTGTTGTTCGGCATTTGAAAGTTTGAAAAAGATAATATGTAACATTTCTAGATAAGCCCTTTCTACATAGAGGGCAGATTTGTTACATTAATCCGGTAACAGGCATGGAAGCATGACAGTGGTGTAAATAAAACTTTTTTATTCGGCCTTCTTTGTATCACAGTTCAGTTACTCTAAATGTAAATGGTAGGTTCCCTAAGCACTAGGCCTAGTCTCTGCCGAGATTTTGCCATTCGACACTACGTTAAATCTCAGCGCACGTGTGTTTTCATCGCTTGTTATTTTCGCTTTTATTTTTCGGATGAGGATCGTTTAACTAGACTTACATCGAAGAAAAAGAACATTACGGAACCATTACGGATATTGTAGCACTTTTCAAGGTTACGGAAAAGGACACTTACTTGTTTGAAAGGATTTATCATACAGCATTGTATTCGAACAGTGTGCAGAGCGTAGTTGATCGGATCGAATAAAACGTGGTATTGACACTGAATTGACGGCTGTTACACAAAATCTTTTTGACAACCCTGAGAAGGCATTACATGGCCGTGGGTTGATACAAATTTATCCTCGAGTGTCGACAACATCTCTCTTTTGTGAGAGATATTATAAACTCGTATCCACCAGCGGACAAATAACGTTCTGTTTAGTCTAGGTCTAAAGTTACTGAATACGTATTTAAACGAAAAACAATTTTAAAACACATAAGAACATTGAATACAGAGAACACCAGCAAATAAAATCAGCTAATAGAAAAGCTACTTCAACCTCCGACTAAATGTAAAACAAGTTCTCATTCCAAACATACAGCAAAGGTAGGTAAAAATATTTTATTAATCTACTTGTAGTTCTGCCATTGACTTAGTAACTTTATGTGATATTTACACACAGATATAAAACACTGTACTCTCAAAAAGCGCATTTCAACTGAGTGTCCTACAACCCAATCCAAAGTGATCACAACTGCCAATCATCGAGCACTTTTCAATTCAGTATCGAAAAACCAAAACCAAGGTAATCACAACTGCCAATCAGAAAAAAGGTTTCCATGATTATTAGCCAATGAGAACTCAGAGTAGAAACAGCCAACCCCCTTAAAGCGCGGGAAAACGCGAGTGATCAGGTCGTGTTTGGTCTTAGTTTTACATATGATTGGTTAAGATTGTGACGCGAGTCTTTCTGAGTTTCTGTGGACCAAACACACAAAGAAGTAAAGCAGAACCAAAGCAATACAGCATCACTTTCGATACTCAGTTGGAAACTGCTCTAAAAAAGGAAATATAGCAAAAGGCCAGAGATAACTCAAAAGAAAAACTAGCAAAGAGCCTGAAGCGCTGGAAATATACGAATGGCCCTATTCCAACACTCGATCATGATGAGGCACGTACTTGATTGGTCAAGAGGGCAGCATAGGCTCTCTAAACCAATAACAGACTACAGTCAAGGTAAACTAATACCCATGACTATATCCATGACTACTTTCGACACTCAATTGAAAATTTCTTTTATAGTTTACAATATTACCATACAAAAATTAGTCTTAAAATAATTCTGAACATGACTAATGATTAAGTCTCTAGATACTGATGCTGTATTGCACTACTCGTTAGGTCTGATCTGTAGAGTTATTTTCTGTTGGTTATCCAGGCACTCTCGTAGTTTATTCTCAGTCCTAGTCAGACTTTGTTCCAAACAAAAAAGTGGCTCAATGAATATGACAATCTCTCCCCTACACCAAAAAATATCGTAAAAAACTCAAATATCATTGAGTTTAGGCGTAAGCTAATAAATCTCCACGTTGCACGAAATCTTTGACTCGTCTCTGTACAACAAAAAACTCATATAAGACTGTTCATGACCTTTTTCCCGACGGGAGCCATGGACTTGATAGCTAATTGCTGTTTCAGAAATGAACCTCATCTCGCGACCAGGTATTCCTTTTTCTAGGGGGAGGGGGAAGAGAGAAAGAGCAACTATAGTGCTTCCCCACCATCTTTTCCCTCCCTCCCCCCCCATACCCGGCTAAAGGAAGGGTGTTTTAAAATGGATATTGATTAATAGCTGATAGGTGTAAACTTTTCATCAGGCCACACCCTTTCGCTCCTTTCTCCCTAACATGGGTCCCCTTCAACCCCTAGTATTCTCCCCAATGAATAACAGCGTGATGGGGTCATTAACAGGAGTGTATCCCCCGTCCCCAACCCCAGGGCTCTTGGTTTCTAAAATAATTCCTTGTTCAGAAATGTTTCCACAACAAAAGACTGTGTAAGCACACCCAGCTGGCCCACAATTTACTCCAGTGTCATGCTCAGTTGTAGAGGAATATGTCTTCTTTCTAGGGGTGTGGTGAGGGGAGGCTGTGTAGCTGGAATGCCTCCCAAACCATCAGCCTCCCCAGTCCTCCCTGTTACTTCATCTGATTTGCTCTGTCTCTGAACAATCAAAATGTGCAATACAACATCTTGGTTAACTTGGCTCTTAAACTGAACCAAGTAAGGCAGAAGGGGTTCTTGTGAACTTTACATCTTAGCTTTCAACTGATGCAATCTGGCAAAGTCAAAAATAATCCTAAATACCCTACTTCATCCAAAGAAGAGTTTTTAGTACAGCAAAAAGATAATTAATCTATTACTCATGCAGCCATTCTTGTTGCACAGTAACACACGTTTGAAAATCAAACAAGTAAATTTATTCACAATGCTGTCAATAAGATATTTGTTTTATCGATGGTCAATGCTATAGAAACTTAAAGGATAAGCACTTTAGAACAGTTCATGAATACAGTGGAAAATATCCTGTAATATCTGTAATTCATTCAATCAATCGACACTTTCATAATACTTAAAGGAACTTATTCATGAAAACTCCTGCATGCATAAAATACCTAAATAGAAATGCAAACTTGATGCATTCAAAACACTCCTCAGTCTTTAGACGGTTTCTAATAACAATTTAAATGTTATTCCTCCAAAAGTAACGAAGCACTACGAAATTGTTGAATTGTTTACAGCTTAATCATGCAAGCTGCTGTCAATGTGTTAATTTAAAAATTTGATACAAAGGCATGCTTCATTTGATGAGAGAATTACTATTATTTAACTTAACCAAAACTCTACCAAAATATGCTCACGGAAAAGTCTACTACATGCTGGAAAAATGTAAAGTTGATAAGTAAAATGTATCATCAACAATTTACATTAATCAATGCCACTGTACATTTATTTTGCAGAAATGTGTTTTTTTTTTTTGGCCTTAATAATACTCCTAAATCTTTGAGCGGTTACAAAGCTTAATCTCGTTTGAAATCGATTTTGTGGTCTGTCAAAACTATAACAAAATTCCGGCATGTGATTGGTTATCACCAGCTCGATTTGAGCACCAATTGGACAGTGCAGATGTCATGCTTGTAACTGGACAATTGAATAGAACAGTTGACATGTCATGCCTGTGTAAATGGACAATGCGTGTCATATGCAAGCGCTGTTGTCGCGCATTTCGGCGACTGAACCGTTGTCTTTTCATGAAAACGTATAACCGATGTCTAGTTTCTTTTTTAAACTAGTGATTGACAAATGGGACTCCCCGTTCGTAGTCGTCCGATTTTGTCAATCACTCGTATGATTATAGACCGAATTGGACTCCACTCAGTCCTATTACTATAATTTAATAAAAGCTCACACAATCACATTTCTGAAGTGATGAATCAACAATTCTTTGAAACTGTCCTTGAAAAATTAGAAGGCAAGTTGCTGATTCTAGCCATTTTCTTTCAAGTTCTCTTGTGACACGTGACATGTCACAGTTTTCCGTAAATTAATAAAACAATAAAACTTACAGATATTCGCAAAAGGTTTGCTTACGAAGAATTGATAGTTACTTTCAAAAATGGGCATTCATTTCAGAATGTAAACTTCTTTCTTTCTGAAGTCTGTGACCACAATCCGATCATCTAGCATTGGGGTGACACTCCACGGCCATCCAAACTGAATATTTGAACTTGTCTTTCCAGTGAAAGTTCCTTCCAATGTAAACTGTTGAACTCGATTATTTCCCCCATCACATAAGAAAACGTTATTATGTTTGTCAACACATAAGCCATACGGCTTATTCATCTGTCCATCACCGTTTCCTTTTTCTCCAAACTTGTACAAAAACTGTCCTCTCTCATCAAACACTTTCACACAGTTATTATTCAAGTCAGTTACAAAGAACTTTTCCTCGTAACAAACGCAGCTGAGTGGATGATCCAGCCTTTCTGGACCGCTGTCTCCAAACTTAAACACAGGTTCACCATCCATTGTAAACACCTGAATTCTGCTGTTATTAAAATCCGCTACAACGATAAAACGTCCATCACTTGTAATACAAACACTTACAGGAAACTTAAACTCTCCATCTCCACTTCCCTTTTTTCCAAAGCTTTTCACAAAGTTCCCTGTCTGTACATTCAACTGCTGTATTCGGTGATTACATTGATCGGCCACCAGAATCTCGTCATCGTTTAGGAACGTGACGTCGACTGGATCCTTTAATTGTCCATCCTTGTCTCCATAAGAACCAATTTTTCGCACAAACTTTCCTGTCTCATCAAATACCAGGATACAGTGACCTTCATAATCAGCCACAGCAATAACACCTTTACTGTTCACTGCAATGCCGGCAGGACCTTGCAGCATTTCTCCATGTAAGTCCAACTTGCCTACAACATTTAACTCTCGTGCTTTGACCAGAATAGAAAATGGACTCTTGGCAAGTTTCTCTCCATTTATCTTTACTTTTATTTTATAAGGACCAGGTACTTTCGCTACAAATTTTGCTTGGAAATTTCCATCTTCTTTTTCACTTGTCACCAAACTCCTCACCTGATCCGCAGGGTCTACGTGTATTTCAACACGATCTGTGTGCTGAGTGTTTCTGATTTCTCCTTCGCTTGATTTGGGACAAATTAGTAGCTCTGCCTCTACACCAGCTTGGAAATTCTGATCCAGTCCTTCCACGGTCGATCCTTGCACATCTGTCTTGCTGAACTTCGTAAATCCCAGACTCAAACTCTCTGGTTCACATGTCGACACAAACTCCACACACGAGCTAACCGGAAGTGCAGGCATTGTGGTCTCGATGAGGTCTTTGATTCGTTCTTCTACATTTTTCTTGTTTTGCATTATGTCTGAACTTGAGCTTCTTTCAACCAGGTTGTTACTGAACTCAAATGCTTGGTCAAGTTGCTTTTCGAAAGAGACAACCGATGCTTTTCCAGAATGTAATTTCTCAATCCTTGACACGCGAGTCTTCTCTAGGGCAGTAATGGCTTCACGTTGTAGTTGGCGAAGCTTTCCCATCATCTGTTCGGTTGCTTGGGAAACTTGGCGTTTAGCTGTGGTAATGTTCGTTTCCAACTCATGTTCCGTGTTCTCAAATTCACGAATAACGCCTCGGCAGACCTCCTTCATCTCTTTGACCAGCTTTGCTCTGGCAATGATGTTTGCTTTTTCATCGTCCGCTGCCTTTTCAAGCGGAACAACATCGTGGCTCTTGTGATCAGTGGCGATGCAAATCTGACACACGCAGCTTTGACAGCCCACACAGAAAAACTTTGTTACTTCTTTCTCGTGATACTTAACGGAGCAAAATGACTGCCGTTTCAACAACGCCTCGTAGTCTGTGGCTTGAAACTGTCGCACTGGTGTGACTTTGTGTCCTTGAAACAAAGTTTCTCGAAATACTTCGTGTGCTTTCACACAGTCTGGGCACATAAACTTCTCGCAATCAAAGCAGTAGTTGATCTCAGCGCTCTTCTTCTGGCATGTACTACAGCTGATTTCATTTCCCTCGCCGCTGCGTCGAACGGCGAGAAGACTCAACAAACTGTTGTGCAGAAAACTGCTCGGCAGATTATCAAAACGCTTTCCTTCAGGGATGCCAATTTGTGCCTGACACTCGGGGCATCGATAAAACCCTTGTTTTTGGCTCGTTAGTGCATGTCTCTCCAGGCATTCACAGCAGAACGTATGAAGACAAGCAATGGTCTTCGGTTTGGTGTAAGTATCCAAACAAATCGAGCATGTTACATGCTCCTTGAGGTTTTTTAGAAGCGACTCCATCACGAATTGCTGAGTAAAACACAGCCCTATTTTGTTTGAGATTCCGAGAAACTGAACTTGGATTAGCATTCTATTTAAAGCAGCGAAGCAGATCTCTGTAGGATCGCGTGATTGACAGTTTTTAATTACAATTTTATTCACCCATTGTTTACTTTCTCTCTCACTGCGTAGTAAAATCGATTTCATAGCGTGACCGAATGTGTCGTTCTAGCCACTGTATCACGAAATACTCTACGCTGGGAACGTTTGTTCATGTACCATCAACCTCATTTTATCATCGCTACATTTACCGCAGTTTAGTGAGTTTGAGAAAACTTTTTTGATTCCACACGAAAATTATCAGAGAGGTTTTGTGGAAGCGTCTCCATCACGAATTGCAGAGAGAAACACACCCTGTTTTGTTTGAGATTTCAAGAAACTGAATTCTATTTAAAGCAGCGAGTTAGATCTCTTAAGAATCATGTGAGCTTCTCGCAGAGATTGACAGTTTTGCATTTCAATTTTATTCACCAACTGTCTACTTTCTCTATCACTGCGTAATTATATCGATTTCAGAGCGTGACCGAATGTGTCGCTCTAGCCATTGTATCACGAAAAGAACACGCTGCTAACGTTTGAAATTATACCATCCACCTCATTTTATCATGGCTATATTTATCGCCGTTTAGTGAGTTGAGATTCCAAGAAACTTGTTTGACACAGTTTTTTATTAAAAAGCAGCGAATCGGATCTCTTTGGTAGAAATCTCGTGCTCTCCCGAGCGGTATTTGATAGCTTCAGTTTTTTATTTCGATGTTTCTTAACTTTTTGAAAGGGAGCGCGAGAGAGTAACACTAAGCAGATGTGCAGTCACGATTAGAAATTCCGTGACATTGACGGAAAGGTCACTAAAATCTGCTTTCTTATGAGAAGGGAGACTAGCTCTCTAAAGGTTATAACTTATTTTGATTCGTTTGCGTGTCGCATTTGGTGCGGATCATGGATTAGGATCAACGTCAGAGAAACAACGAACCTACCCCTCCCTTCACCCCAAAACAGTCAACCTATAATAAGTCCGGGTTAATGTTGAGTTAGGGGAGGGGTAGGTATACAGATAATCGGAAAGCCAACCACTTTTTGCAGAAATAGTGTTAACTGAATGTAGGTGAAAGTTAAAAAAAAAAACGCTCTGCTGCAGTTCTTCTCTGCCACACTATTTTCATTTTATTCTTGTGACCATGCAACTTTCAAACATCAGTCTTCCGGTTCAACACATGCGAACAGAACGGGGGAAGGGAGGGTGGATGATGAGTGAAAAAAAGAGACTCAGTTGAAAGTAGATGGAGGAGTCACCTTCTTAGATAAGTTCTTCTCTTTTCAAGCGCTCGGTGACAGCCTAACAGAGGGTGAAGCTGATGTGGTCTCGCCTTCGGTCCAAGGCTGTTTGAATACAGTGTATGCATCAAATAGGAGATTTTGACCCCTAATGCTGTTGTTAATCGGCATTTAAAAGTTTGAAAAAGATAATACGTAACAATCTAGATAAGCCCTTTCTACATAGAAGGCAGGTTTGTTACAATAAGCCGGTAACAGGCATAGAAGCATGACAATGGTGGAAATAAAACTTTTTAGTGCGGCCTTCTTTGTATCACAGTCCAGTTACTCTAAATGTCAGTGGTATCTTCCCTGAGGACTAGGGCCAGTCTCTGCCGAGGTTTTGCCAATCGACACTACGTTAAACCTCGGCGCACGTATGTTTTCATCACTTGTTATTCTCGCCTTTATTTTTCGGATGAGGATCGTTTAACTAGACTCACATCGAAGAAATAGAACATTACGAAATCATAACGGATATTGTACCACCTTTCAAGGTTACGGAAAAGGACACTTGCTTGTTTGAAAGGATTTCTCATACAGTATTGTATTCAAACAGTGTGCTGAGCGTATTTGTTCGGATCGAATAAAACGTGGAATTGACACTGAATTGACGGCTGTTACACAAAATCTTTTTGACAACCCTGAGAAGCCATTACTTGGCCGTGGATCTATAGTTACTGACTACGTATTTAAACCAAAAACAATTTTAAAACATATAAGAACATTGAATACAGAGAACACCAGAAAATAAAATCAGCTCACAAAAAAGCTACTTCAATCTCCGACTAAATGTAAACCAAGTTCTCATTCCAAACATACAGCAAAGGTAGGTATAAATAGTTTATTGCCTTAGTAACTTTATATGATATGTACATGCACACAGATATACAACACTGTATTCTCAAAAAGCGAATTTCAATCGAGTGTCCAAATCCAAATTGATCACAACTGGATCACCAAATCCAAATTGATCACAACTGCCAATCGTCGAGCACTTTTCAATTGAGTATCGAAAAACCAAATCCAGTTGTGATGACAACTACCAATCAGAAAAAAAGGTTACCATGATTATTAGCCAATGAGAACACAGAGTAGAAACAGGCAACCTCCTTAAAGCGCGGGAAAACGCGAGTGACCAAGTCGTGTTTGGTTTTAGTTTTACATTTGATTGGTTGAGATTGTGACACGAGTTTTCTGGACCAATCACACAACGAAGTGAAGCAAAACCAAAGCAATCCAGCATCACTTTTGATACTCAGTTGGAAACTGCTCTAATAAAGGAAATATAATAAAATGCCAAAGATAACTCAAAGAAAAAAACTGGCAAAGAGCCTGAAGCGTTGGAAATATACGAATGGCCCTACTCCACACTCGATCTTGATAAGGCTCGTACCTGATTGGTCAAGAGGGCGGCATAGGCTCTCTAAACCAATAACAGACTATAGTCAAGCTAAACCAATGCCCATGACTATATCCATGACTATTTTCGACACTCAGTTGAAAATTTCTCTCATAGTTTACAATATTACCATACAAAGACTAGTCTTAAAAGAATTCTGAAAATATCTAGTGATTAAGAGGGTCTTAATGGGGATAACCGTTAGCCGTAAAACGGCCAAAAAATTTAGCCGTTAGGCGTAAAAATTGACAAATTTTAACCGTTAGTCGTAAAAAAAGTTTACCGCAAACAATATGTCTGGGGGAAACAATGGAAAGGTGTTAACCGTTAGCCGTAAATTGGCCAAAATTTTAACCGTTAGCCGTAAAAGCCATCACCCCATTGAGACCCTCGATTAAGTCTCTTTATACTGACGCCGCTGTTGGTTACCCAGGCATTTTCGAAATTTATTCCCAGTCATCGTCAGCATTTGTTCCAAAACTGAAACTGTCTGCAACAAAAGGCGGCGCAATTAATATCAGAGTATCTCCCTTATTCTAAAAAATATTTTCGCATCAGCATAAGCTAATACATCTCCGTGTTGCATCCAATCTTTGCCTCGTCTCTGTACAATAAAAACCTCATATTAGACTATTCGTGACCTTTTTCCCGACGAGGGCCATGGACTTGGTCACCAGTCGCTGTTTCAGAAATGAGCTCCATCTTGCGATCAGGTATTCCTTTTTCAAGGGGGAGGGGGGAGAGAGAAAGAGCAACTGTGGTGCTTCCATACCATCCCCCTTCCTCCCTCTCCCCCACCCCCCCAAACAAAGAAGAAGACCGCCTAATTCAGGCTAAATGAATCTATGCTTCTCAAAGACTGGTAAAAGGAACTAGCAAAAATTGAGTACGCGAAAGCTGTGTCCCCCGTTTCTAAGTCTTGTGTCTTGTTAAAGGAAGGGTATTTTAAAATGGATATTGATCGATAGGTGATATGTGTAAGCTTTTCATTGGGCCACACCTTTTGCTCCTTTCCCCCTAGCACGGGTCCCTCTTCAACCCCTGGTATTCTCCCCTATGAATGGCAGCGTGATGGGGTCACTAACAGGAGTGCATCCCCCGTCCCCACCCCCCAAGGCTCTTGGTTTCCAAAACAATTCCCTGTTCACAAATTTTTCCACAACTAACCTGTGTGAGCACATCCAGCTGGCCAACAATGTGCTCCAGAGTTATGCTCAACTGTGGAGGAATATCTCTCCTTTCCAGGGGTGTGGTGAGGGCCCTGGCAGAGGCTGTGTAGCTGGAATGCCTCCCAAACCATCAGCCTCCCCTGAATCCTCCCTGCTACTTCATCTAATTTGCTCTGTCTCTGAAGAGTGAGAATTTGCAAGACAACATCTTGGTTAACTTGGCTCTTAAACTGAACCAAGTAAGGTGGAAGGGTTTCTCATGAACTTCACATCTTAGCTATCAACTGATGCAATCTGGCATAGTCAAAAAAATAATCCTAAATAGCCTACTTCATCCAAAGATGAGATTTTAATACAACAAAAAAGATAACTTACCATTACTCATGCAGCCATTCTTGTTGCACAGTAACACACTTTTGCAAATCAAACAAATAAATTTATTCAAAATGCATTCAGTAAGATATCACTTCAACAATGGTCAACACTATTTGAACCTAAAGGAGAACTGTACTCAGTTCATGAGCACAGTGAAAAGTATCCTATAATATCAGTAATTCATTCAATCAATTTATATTTCATACTATTTAAAGGAACTTGTTCATGAAAACTCCTGCATGCATGGAATACCTAAATAGCAATTGCAACTTGATGCAATCAAAACACTCCTCAGTCTATAGACGGTTTCTAAATACATCTCAAATGCAATTCCTGCAAAAGCAAATAAGGTAGGTAGATGCTATGCTTTTATCTCCTTAAACGGAAACTAATAAAAGCGGTGCATTCAGGGAAATTAAGTTTGGGAAAGTAAAAATCACTGAAAAATCTTACTAAGGTGACAATCGTTATTTATCAATGGGGTTGGATATAGAGGGGGGGGGGAATCAGCTGTCGCCAACAGAGTTTCAAGCAGCTCACAAAAGGAGGCACACCAACAACTGACAGTCTTAAATGCAACCATTGCAGTAGACTGTGCTGCTCACATGCTGAACTTGCAGTGCATCAATGCCCCTAAAGCACTTAACTGTTTCTCAGTCAACATCACCTGCAATGGACTGCCAATGATGATTAAAGTGGACTATAGTAAATTGACTGCTAATGAGAAGAGGGATAAAAAAATATCGCTCTCATCTTGATCACTCTCATTTTCTTGCCCCTCAGCCAGTTTGTTTGTTTTCACTGTCAGTTCTTATCACCTGCTCGTGTTATTTTCTTTTCATCTGGTTGGTC